TTTCCCTACTTTTCCTTGTGATTTTTTTTCTTTCCAGCCTGCACTGTGTCTGGTTGAATTTGAATAGACTTTAGGAGGCAACGTCTGCAGTGTACAGCAGCACAAAGTCCCCATGCTTTGAAAATCAGAATATGGCGGGATTCAAGGATTATTCCTCAACCGCGGGGAGGGAGTTCGTGTTGGGTTTGTTTTAAAGCTTTGTTTTTCTCGGCGTGAACACTTTTCGGTCCCGCTGGAGTTATTGGTATGAAATAAATATGCCCTTTCACCAGAGGAATATCGAGCCCCGCCGTGTGAGCAGGCTATCGGCGAAGAAGGATGGCTGGAAACCCAGGGAAGAAGCCGGCAAACGCAAACTGCGAAAACCCGTTTTGTTCTCATCGCTGGATGAGGTTGGCTGTCATACGCTGACTAACGTAATACATCAACTTTCCGACCTTTCCCGACATGCCAGCGACATCTTCCTGGGCATCGAGATGGAGGCGGGGATGGTGTTTAGAAGATCCTGCAGGATCGAGGAGCGCCTGCAAATTCTGCAGGATGAAGTCCACAAGCTTGATCCCAAGAAAGTGAAAATCCGTGAGTCTGCACTGTTGGCCACTTGTTTTTGTCCCTCTTACTCTACTGATCTTTCGGCTCCAATCACTTTAGCTTTCTATGAAATGCTTACAAGCCACTATAGAGCACTAAATGAGATCCAGAGACACGCAAAAATGCATGCAGTGAGTTCATATTTGTAGATATGATGTGCATGTTATGTATGATTCGAGAGTTTAAATATGTCTGTGTGAGAGAGGTGCGTCTACCTTCTGGCTTTTCCTGTTATGATAACATGCGCAGTAGTGTGGAGAGGTCCAAGGTGACTGTCATGATTTGTCTTTTTAAAAGAGTCAAAGAGGAGTGACCACTGACTCCTGCCCACATGGCTTTATTTGCCTGATTGTGACTTATGTTAACAGGGGCATTGTGTCAGAAATGATGGATATCCTCTCAACATACTGGCCATCTGTATCCAGGTCCTCAAAGGGCACTGAGATCCCAGGAGACCCTTCACCTTCCTCATCTCTCCTTAATGTCCATAAAGCTGATAAACACACAGACAAATGGAAAATCAATTTCTTTACTTTTAAAGTTTTGTGATTTGTTTAGCCTGCTTTTATTAAAGCTCCCTCCTTTAGGAGGGTTAAATATTAACTGAGACTGACTCATGCTCTGGTGACTGTGCAAGCAAGACTGAGAGATAGGCCTGCTGAGCTGCAGACCTGAGGCAGAGCCTTTGAATGACTGCATATCTGCCTCTCGACACCTATTTAAGACTCTGTTATGTGGTAATGTGTGTAAACCCAGCAGTTAAGGGATCATGTTTTCTATTGAGTCCCTGCCTCTTTTTCTTATCTAACTTGCTTCCGAAATGTATTGCAAAGTAGTGCTGGGAAGATTGGTGCAAATTCCTCTAAACCCAAGTGAAAGAGGAGGATTTCATCTCTGACTCACTCACTTTTGTTTCCTTTTTACTGTCCTTCCTCCTGCATTTGATCTGCGTCTGTCCATCCTGCCTTGTGTCTAAATATGACTCACCCTTTGTCACACAAACACACACAGGTTCAAAAGTGACTGCAGAGAAATGATAAGCCGAACAGGCAGACAGATCCCAGACGGAGGTGAAGGGGTGTAGGGGTGCCCACTACATGACAGCAACCAGTCCCAGTCATGACTCGACTGCTCCCATTTTCTGTACCTGTTGGAAGTTTTGATGCGGTTTTAGGCGGGACTGGGAGCTCTTTCTGAAAGGGTTTGTCTCATTTAAAGACCTGATTCATCAGAAGCCGAAGACGAGGTGTGAGAGAGTAGGCTGGAATGCGGTGTGTTACGTCGCGATCTGCAGTTCCCACACGCCCTCAAAGCCGTGTGTTAGGTTTACAGAAGCGCTGAGTCTAGATTTATTACAACGCAGACACTGAAGCTCAACACCAGCTTTTTCCACACATGGAAACACCTGTATTTTTTTTTTTTTTGAAGTGCCCTCCAGCGTTAATCCATGAAAAGAGTCCTGGATCTGAATATGCCAGAACACCTGGCAGAGTTACTTTGAATTTGGTATTTGAATAAAAGTTACTGTGTCATGCGCATGACTCCAGGAAACAAAGCATTC